GCATAGAGTTAGAGACCTTGGAACACTCGGTCCTAAATGGGATGTTTCTATCAACTTCCTCCCTTCAGGGCTCAGGGAATTCTAAGAAAGAGGTGAAAAGAGTATAAGAGCCTGAGGGCATAGAGACCACCAAGAAAGCCAGGTCCTCTAAATCAACATGATGGAAGCTCTGATGAATTCACAGAGCCTGAAGCATCATGCACAGGGCCTGTGCAGGGGGTGGTGGTGGTGAGGATGGGGGGGGGGAGGATGGTGTCTGCACCAGTTTTGTTTTTATGGGATTCTTGAGTGTTCAAACAAATGCCTTTTTTGGGGTTCTTTTCCATCTTTTTGTCTTGTCCAAATCCGATGTGATATCTTTTATATTTTATTTTGTTGTATTTAATTATCTCTTAGAAGACTGTTCTCTCTCTCTCTCTCTTTAATTTTTTGAGATCAGAGACAGGGTTTCTCTGTGTAACAGTCCTGGGTATCCTGGAACTTGTTTTGTAGACCAGGCTGGCCTCAAACTCACAGAGATCCACCTGCCTCTGCCTCAGCCTCTGCCTCCTGAGTGCTGGGATTAAAGGTATGCACGCCATACCTAACTACCTACTTGCTTTTTAATGAGAGCCAGAAAGGGAGTGGATCCAGATGGGAGCGGAGGTGGGGAGGAACTGGGAGGAGTAGAGGGAAGGGAAATTGAAAAACCTATTTTCAATAAAAAGGGAAAAATAGAAATGTAAAATAGTACAATTACCCTCCTTAAAATTTGAAAGCAAAGAGAAAGTATCACAATTACCCCTCCAATTGCCCCCCTTGAAGATTTAAAATACCATATGAAAGGGAGGAGGGTGTGGAGGTAAAGCAGGGCTTTGTTGAAGCCAGTAGGGGAAACTACTCCTGCTCAAATATGGTGATTTTATAGATTTACCTCCTTTTTTTCTTTTGTTTGCCTTAGTCTACAGCTACATTTCTTTTTTTCTTTTTTTCTTTTTTCTATTGAGAGAGGACCTCTATGTAGTTCTTACTGTCCTGGAGCTCACTGTGTAGACCAGGCTGACCTTGAACTCACAGAGAACCTCCTACCTACATCTGCCTCCTGAGTGCCTGCTATATGACTTTTGTTCTAAAGACTAGAACTTGAGTTGTATCTTTTACTTTGCTTGAAAATACAGCATCCTAAACTGCCCCAAAGATCGTAAGATCACAATGTTATATTATTGCCTCCTCCCTTTATAGTCAATCCACAATGAACACCAGTAATCCTAGCAGTCTGGGAGGTGGAGGTAGGTGGATCAAGTTCAAGGTAGGCTATAGTGGAGGCCACCCAGGGCTTGGTGTGCCTCTATCTCAAAGTCAAATCTTTTTTTCTAATGATTTATTTTTATTTCTTATGTGCACTGCTGTCTTGCCTACATGTATATCTGTATGAGGGTGTCAGATCCCCTAGAACTGGAGTTACAGACAGTCGTGACCCGCCATGTGGGTGCTGGGAGTTTCCTCTGGAGAAAGCAGCCAGCGCTCGTAACTACTGAGTCTCAGGCTCCTCAGAATCAAATTTGTGGGCTTGACAAGATCTTTACTGAAGGTAAAGAAGCCCATCCCTTTACAGACACCAGAAGTTTTTCCCTGGATCTAGCTGTTTACAGATCTTCACTGCTGAGCTTGCCCTTTTTCTGTTCTTGCTTCAAAATAAAAAGAAAGACAACAACAAGAAAAACCTAACCTTTTCTTTAACTTCTTTTTCATCTCCCTCTCTCCCTTTTCAGATAGTGGTCAGAATTCTTAGCCCATTTACCCTGATACTCTAACGCAGACACACACACACACACACACACACACACACACACACACACACACACACACAAGTGCAGCTGCTTGTATAAGTACATTGCTGAGCCTGTCTTCTTACTCGATTGAAAGCATGACTTTCTTACCCAGCTTCCTCCTTCTGGCTGCTTCTGAGATGTACAGCTCTCCTAGCCTATTGCTTTATTTTTCCTCTCAAATTCTAATAAAAATGTTCTCAAGCTTTCTCCTGAGCATTTGTACATACCTCTATCTACAAGACTGAGAACTCATAAAAGTGCCCTGTGTTCCCTTTTAACAGGGAGCGTCTGAGGGCCTCAACCTAGGGAGGAAGGAATGGGTGAGTACCAGAACTGTGGGGAATTTGGGCAAGGGCCTGGGAATGTGCTTGGGAAACAGCTGGTTTTTTTTTATTTTTTATTTTATTATTTTTTTTGAAGAGTCCTCGTGTTGGTGAGGATTCCACCTACAGAAGGACAAGATCATCACTTCCATGGATAGACAGGAAGTTGAGTACTAAGCTTGGTGATGTGGGCTGGTATAAAGGTTACAGAGCTGAGCCCAGTGCCCAGGCTGGAGCTGTTAGAGTCTATGCATAGAATAGAAGGGATGGCAGCTCCTAAGCTCAACAACCAATACTGGGGAAAACGGGGGGGGGGGAATTCCCAAAGTGTGATCCCCACATCAGCAGCCTATAAATAATTCTCAATCCTCCTCCTCAGTCTAGGGCTCTGCAACTCTGGGTCAGGGGAGTGGTGTGTGTGTGTGTGTGTGTGTGTTATACATCCTCCATACTGTGATGCTAATGTGTTCAAGTTTGGACAAGCTGGGTCTGAACATATCACCAGAGCACAAAAGGAAGTCCATCTGCCCAGCCCCAGTTCCACAGAGGTATGAGAGAAAAATGAGTGTGCACATAGGTTAGTCAAAACCAGAATGAAGCAGACTGAACTGCACCAAGACGAACTTCAGCAAGTCCTTGCAAACCTGGGCTATCAAAATGGTCCTCTAGGTGTAGGCAAATGGGCCCAGTCCACAGCTCAGGCAAATCTTAATCCTGCCTCCCTCTGAGCTGTGTCCTGTGGGAGAAAATTAGTACAGATGTCTCTCCACAGCCAGCTTTCCCTGGGGAACAACTGAGCTAAAGCCTCGTTCCCCCAGGGAGATTGTGGCTGGTCCCTAAGTTGGAAACAAATTAAAGGAGATAAAGAAACTGGGAAAAAACCTAGGAAGAAAGTCTGGCCTCTGGAGACCCTGCCCTTCACTGAGGGAAGTAGGAGACCTGATAAGCAAGAATACCTTTTATTTCTATTGAAAACTTCAAAAAGTGGGTCTCAGCAGTTGTTCTTAAAGTAGAAAAAGGTGCGGGGCTGTGGTGGTGCATGCCTTAAATCCCAGCACTTGAGAGGCTCAGGCATGCGGATCTCAGTGAGTTCAGGGCCAGCCTAGTCTATAAAGAGAGTTTCAGGACAGCCAGGGCTGTGTCGGGGGAATAAAAGTAGAAAAGGATTGACATAGGGGAGGGAAACTCTGCAAGCTGAAGGTGGGGTGTCTAAAGGAGAATAAAGTGGGCAGGGTTCTGCAGTCTTCCCGGCTAGATTCTTACCTAAATAGATGCTGGCCATTGAGTGTTTTCACAATAAACCCTGGTATAAGAGAAGAGGAGGAGACCCCTCCCCCCTGGGCTAGGCTGGCAGGTGCTGGTCCCTGTGTTGGAAGTGGAAGAATGGCACTTATGGATGGTGGGCTTCAAGCCTGTGGCCTCTCAGGAGCCAGATGGTGTGCTCCTGAGGTCCTGCCCAGGGGCTTTCTCCCCTGTGTCTTCTTCCTGTCATGGTCTCCACTGCTCAGGTACAGGCATGGCTCAATGTCACTTCTCACTCAATGCCCAAGCCAAGCTGTGACACTACCAGCTTCTTTGAGAGAACAGTTTCCACTTCTGAAAGGGCCCTCAAGCTACCTCAGAACAAGGTGTTTGGGTAATTGATGTATGAATTGGTGGCCTGGTCCATGTGCACCAGACACCCATCTGGAGAAGTTGTTTTCTGCTAAAAGAGGAGAACCATCATTTTGTCTAGCCTCGAACTTCCTTAGCTGCCTATTCTCCACGTCTCACAAGAGCAGCAGTCTCCAGGTCCTTGGACTAGCAGGGAGAGACAGGTTCCCAAAGGAAGCATACTTGAAAACAGAGGGCTTTGGTTTTCAGCAGAGAAGCACCTAATTTATCTTGGAGAGTAGGGTGAGACCTCTGTATTTGAGGGCTTGCAGGTGGAGGTCGACATACACACTCCAGCACTGTGGGCCCCCAGAACTGACGGGACACTCGCTCACGTGCTGCCATTCAGTTTGCCGGAACCTGCTGTGGGTGCAGAGACCCATCACCTCCCACGTGGAGGGCGGAAGAGGCGGCGCTGACCACTACAAACTCGCCGCAGGTGGCCAGGCAGTTCTTACAAGTTGCGCCTGTTGCCGAGTAGGCGTGGTCAATAAGGCGGGGCTTGAAGGGGCGGGATCTGATCAGGCCGGTGCTCACCATCCTGCACAGGTGAGCAGGACCAGAAGTCAAGGGCGGGGCTTAAGGGACCGCCTAGACTAGAGAGGTGGAGCCGGGCAGAAATGGGCGTGGTCCGCCTGGGAGGGGCGGGATTCTGAGAAGCGCAGACAGGTATGGCCTATTGCAGGGGTGGGGCAAAAGGAACCCCCCCTCCTCGGGGGCGGGGCTTAATGTGAAGGGGCGAGGGACCACTCAGCTTAGAGCCGCCGAGTCCGGAAGGGCGGGGTCAGGGCGGGGCCAGGGTGGGGCGGAGTCGGCGGGTCAGCCTCCCCCAGCTGCGCCCGCTTCCTCTGGCACTCCGGCCCGGCGGAAGTGCGTCAGTTGTTATCCGCTCCGGTCGCTGCCACTACTGTTTCTGCCTCACGATCTCGGTGCCCTGAAGCTCCGCTACCCGTCGCCCTCAGCCACCCGCCTCCGCTGCCCGCCGATCGCCATGGGTTGTGTCCCTGGGGGCCCGATCTGGGGCTGCTGAGCGCCCGCCGCCCTCCGATGCGCCGGGCCCGGACCCGGGGTACCAGCCCGCGCGGCGCCCGGCGCTGAGCGCCCGCGCCCGGCATGCCCGCCCCGGCCCCGAGCCCGCCCCGGCCCCGAGCCCGCGCGGCGCCCTCCCAGCCCGGCGGCGCGGCGTAGCAGGCGGCGCGGGGCGCCAAGGTCACAGCCGCGGCGCCGCCATGGAGGCCAAGGTCCGGTCGAGCAGGCGCTCGCGCGCGCAGCGAGACCGCGGCCGGCGTCGGGAAGCCACCCGCGACGCCCGCGCCCAGAGCCCGTCGTCGGGTGACGAGCCGGAGCCCAGTCCCGGCAAGGAGAACGCGGGACTGCACGGCGCGCCGCCTCAGCGCCCTACGCCCCTGCGCGCCGCGCGCCCCCCGCGGCGCCGACGCCGTGAGTCCAGTTCGCAGGAGGAGGAGGTTATTGACGGCTTCGCTATAGCCAGCTTCAGCACCCTGGAGGCCCTGGAGGTAGGTGGGCGCGAAGGCCGGACCGGGGATCAAGGAAACCTATCCGCACGCCGCCTGCCAGGAAGAGGACCCGGAGTGAGGGGTGTGTGGGAGGACTTAAACCACGCCGCCCAAGCCATCTTTGCAGCGGCTGGTACTTGTTGCCAAGTTATCGCTGTGTCCAGGATCAGCTGAGGAATGGGGCAGTTTTGGGTCTCAGGGAGGTTGGCGACGATAAGGTGGACACTTGGGATTCTTCCTGTTCAGGGCTCTCAAGGGTTGTTTGGAGGGGACAGGGAGTCAACTGGCAAACCCTTCTTGGTGGTGACTGATTATTGCACGGGTAGAAGAAATAGGTTTACTAAAGATACCACCTGTCTGGCTGAGTTATCGTGTACAGTATTTGCCTATCACAGTATCCTTTCTACCTGAACTCAAGTTAGTAGAAGGAAGTGAGACGCTGTAACACTGTAAGAGAAATGGCCAGTCAGTGAGTGAGTGAGTGGGTAGCCACTGTTTGTGTATGTGTCTCTGTAGTTGGAAATGCTGGTCCGGCTTTCAGGGCACCAGCAGAACCTTCACAGGCCCTACTAGCCCCTAGGAATTCAGAGAACTCCATCTAGGTGAGCACTTCGGGAACCACATCTCTCCAACTGCTGGGCTGTGGTCCAGGGGCCACTCTGTAGTGGCTCTTCTTACTTTTGTCCTGACTGACAAAATGTGATTCTCCAGTCTCAGGCAAAGCTTTAGGAAAGGGGAGTTTGTCATTGCAGATCTCTAAAGGGAGTTCCCACCAAGTTCATATCCTAATTCTGGGGTCTGCCGGGTCTGTAGAGAGTTGAGGGTGATGGCTACTGTAAGTAGGCCTGGGGTGGGTTTGTCTGAGACAGCTGAGTGAATGTAGTACCCAGTCATACCTTGTGCTTAGCTCAGCCATCTTCTGGAGAGCTTGAGAGGAAGGAGTTCTGGGCCCAAGTCAGGGATCCCAAGCTAAGGTGATTTGATGGGGTGTAGTTGTATTGTGTCGGGTGCTGATGTATAGGATGGCTTGGGGTTTTCTGCCTTAGCGGTAATAATGACCCAGTCAGACACAGTGCTGAAGCCCCTACATTGCAGCCACGGCACTACAGGCTTCGGATATGTAATCTCATTCTACTTCGACACACCTGTGTCTGCTGCCAGGCCCAGAAAGAACTCAAAGAACCTGCACATCCGTTTGGTCTCTCCTCCCAATTCTTCTCTATCACACGAGCCTCTCTTGGGTCTTAGAGCAAGTTGCTCTTCTATCTGCCTGCGTACTGTTTGGTGCTGTGACAGTTTGGCCCAGCTGTCAATGTAAGATCTCATCTGAAGAAGGGACTTTTTTTTTAATGTCCCTTCATTGTCCCTTTTGGTCACACCTTTTCCCGTACTTTGGAGACTGATTGGTATCCCTGGGACTCTGCCCCTCAGACTTGTCAGTGGGAGGATGGTGTCTTTGGGTTCCCAGTCCAGAACAGAGCAACCAAGACTCAACAGAGTGGGGAGTGTCTGAATGCTTGTGCAGGGGGAGTGAAGAGAGGAATGGCCTTCCGGGAAGCCCAGAGTCACTGCCTTAAGGTCACAGCATACTGTCACGAGACCAGCCCATTTGTATTTAAGTGTTCTGTCTGTGTTGGCTTGGGCCTTCCCCACCTCTTCTAGGCCACATATACAGGGTTGATTTGTATAGGTTTACCAGCTTACCCCCTGGTCACTGAGAGATTATCCTGCCTCTCCTGTACACCTGTACAAAAACTTGGTACCTATCCTCCTGGGAGCCTCACTTCTGCCCCTCTGAGCCCGGCCTTGGGAAGTACTTGGTTTCTGGGCAGATCACAATGTATAGATCTCATCTAGAAGAGTTTTTCTGGGTCTCATTTACTGGTGAACTGTTAAAGATTTCTCCCTGAGATCAGGTAATTTATTATCCCATCCCATCCCAGTGCCGACTAGTTAACTCTACCAGTTATTTTTACAGACATGAATTCATGTATCCCTTCAAATGGCCGTTTAAGTAGGTTTGGCCACTTTCACAGATGAGAAATCCCAGGCACATCCAGACTGGGGTCTGCATGGTCTGGAATGTGTGTGGTTCCCCTGCCCTGCAGCCTCACCCGTTGGGGGAGATGGCCAGCTACATTCTTAGGTTAGCAGGACTCCGGCCCAGAGGCAGAACTTGTCTCAACAGTAGCTTCCTTAGGATCCCTACATGTCATGACACTGAGTGTCAGAGAAGCCTGCATAATTGCAAAGGCAGTTAGTTCAGTGGATGTGAATGACTTGAGATGATGGAAGAATGCCCCATTACCTCATCTGAAGGCGCCTGTATAGGCTGTCCGCACCAGGGCTGCCTCAGATTTCTCTCTGCACATCTTCCTTTGTAGCCCTCAACTCTCTTTTAGTCTGTGGGTACAGTAGGTGCTTCCCGAGTGCCATGGCAGTGGCTGTTGGTGAGAGGGTGTGTGGTGACACTTAATGATCCACAGGTTTAGACTAAGCCTCATGTTGGAACTGAGGGTGAGCAGGTTGGGTAGAGAAGAACAGGGGTCCATAGAAGCATGGGATTTTGGACATTGAGGAAAAGTAGGCCTGCCCATCTTTCTTGTGACAAAATTCTTTTGGTATACAGACAAAGGTAATGGGACTGTATGTACTCTTCCCACACCCAGCAGTGAAAGGGTGAGGAACGGTTGTAGGTCTACCCAACACAAGTGCTTCAGGTCACGGAACAAGTTGTGCTGGTACCTGTATTACTAGGAGGCAGGCTGAGCCCTGCATCCAGCCTCAGGTAGACAAGCACTTTCTAGCCTTAGGGCTAGGACTCTGGGGCCAGAGAGCATTTTTACCACCACCTCCAAGCAGAAACCACCTGTGGTTTCATGTCATGTGATTTTTATTAATTTGTTTTAACAGCAAACTGAGGTGATTAGAAAGTCAAGCTCTAAAGAATAGGGGTGCTAGCCAGGCGTTGGTGGCACACGCCTTTAGTCCCAGCACTTGAGAGGCAGAAGCAGGTGGATCTCAGAGTACGAGGCCAGCCTGGTATACAGAGCTAGTTCCAGGACAGGCTTCAGACAAAAGCAATACAGAGAAACCCTGTCTTGAAACCCCCCCCCCCAAAAAAAAAGGTTGCCACATTCCATGGGTGTCTGCTGTTTTCTGGAGCCTCTGGCTGGGGGAAATAGCCAGGAATAGATGAACCCTACACATAAACCCTACACACTACTCACAACCAGATACAACCAAGTAACAACTATGTCACTCGCACAAAGACGGTTCCTCATAGTGGCCATAGAGAGCTGTGCTATCTACACAGGGAAAGAAGAATGTTCATCACAGAAAACACAACTTCACACAGTATCATCACAGAAGGCAGCTGGGTATATGACGGCTACATCATCTACAAGGGCAGAGGGGAATTCCCAGAGAAGACACACACAGCTGGATACAGGCTGTCACCTACATTGAGTTAAGGGAGACTCCTCACAGTGGAAACAGCTTGGTAGAGTTAGCTGTTGTCTAAATAGAGAAGGAGTATAATATATTTGTTCCTCACCCCTGTGCATGTGAACTGTACTGGGGGACAAATGTGAAAAGGAGAATTCCCCCAAATGCTGTGTGTTGTGGTGCCCATGACTTCTTTTCTCTAACTCTTAGGTTTCTGCATTCTCTGGTCAGTACATGTGACTTACAACTCACAAAATATTTTCATAAAACCACACTGTACAGAGCTGTGCTTAAGAAACTGTCAACTGCTAGGCTAGGTGGTTGGTGCACACCTTTAATCTCAGAACTCCAGGAGAGGCAGGTTGATCTATGAGTTCTAAGACAGCAGGGCTTTGTAGAGAGACTGTCTTTAAAGGGATAAAAACAAACCAGTAACTTATATTGTCAGCCTAGCTGACAACCACCAGCCTGCACTGTGACTTTCTCGAATGACCGAGCAGCAGACTAGACTGTTGGCTTATGGGACACAGCTTAGGAAGGTGTTGCAGCCTGACTGTCTTCTGGGCAGGTGGTCCTTTTGCAAACTGCTGTTAGGCTGGGTAAGATAGTGCCTATATTGTTTAGGGTCTGTGGGCCCTGTCTTGCCTATGTTTGTACATAACTGTGGGAACTGAAACCACACAGACTTCTAGGTGAGGAGAGGAGAGCTATGTATGGCAGGAAGCATTTTCTATTCAGGAGCCTTAAGAGTACCTCCTTATGACTGCCTCCTGGTGTGAGGTTCAGTGTGTGTGCATGCTTTCTCCAGAGTCAGAGGCCTGAACCCGTAACCTCTTCTTAGACTGTGTTGGGCTATTCACAGGAGGTGTTGATTCTACAGGTTTGGGGGGAAAACTAGTCCCTCTTAGGTATAGAGTGGACACAGCATGTGGAAGGAATGCTCCCTCAGGTTCCTCATCCCCATATGAGTGCATAGTGTACCTTGGGCAGCCCGTCCAGTGCCAAGGCCTTGGCAGGAGCCACCAGAAGGTCCTTAGTCTGTCTCTTGCTTGGCACTATGATACAAGAGAGCATTTCCCCCAACCATATAGCTCTTGGAAGGGTCTCATTTATCTCTTGTACCTAGAAATCCCTTGTCTATGTCACCTGAAGTTCTTTTTGGGTTTTTAGGCCTGTTAACCTCTTGGCTTGAGCTTCTTTCTATACCCATGGGGATCCTTATGGCCACATCTGCCTTCCTGGAGTCCCCACACTCACTTCAAACCCAAGCCTTGGGTTGGAGCTACCCTCTGCCTGGAAGGCTCTTAAAAGACCCAACTGTCTGCTTGCTCCTCAAGAAGGCCATAATGGGGCATCTCCTGCCCCACTGGGGCTCTTATCCCCCCCTGCTGCTGTCCTCTAACAGGCTTTCTGGCATGTGCCCCCCCCCCCCAGGTGACAACAGGTACCGGTTCTGGTCTGTTCCCTCCTTCATTGATTCACCAGCCACCAGGATACAGATCTAGATCTGCATGGGTGGTGCCTTAGGAACAAGCCTAGTGTGGCAGGGACCT